AAAAGCCAAGAGTTAATAGTGTATCAAATGATCTGGGTAAAAGTTCCTGGAGGTCTTCAATTCCGCGTTGCATCTTTGACCGCCTGGAATATGGATAAATGTCTTTATAGCCAGCTTACAAACGATCAGTCCCCTGTTTAATTGTTTTTAGTTTTTTTTTCTTTTTCCATCGGGATTGGAGGGCGGGGGGAGTGGATGACTATATACTACCCCTAAGTTATTGCCTTCTTAAGAAACTGTTGGGAGGCGCATCTTAAACACGTAGCCATTTATCAAAGTTAAACTTAACGTTTCGAAGCCTTAGCCCCGCCATCACTTTGCTCAGACACAGTACTAACGTTTGAAACGTCCACTTCACAAACTCACTGGTATATCAACTGACACTCACCAAGACACCGTGGAACAGAAGCAGTCCATTCCTTATTCTCCTGGCAGTAGATGGTGGGCGTGCCAATCAGAGTGTAATCTTTGTCGCATGTAAACGTCACAGATCCACCGTATACGAGGCCTTTGTTGACCTTTTGCGCTCCATTTGCGAGTTTTCCAGGATCATCGCAGTGAACGACNTACTACTACTACTACCACTACTACCACTGCTACCACTGCTACCACTGCTACCACTGCTACCACTGCTACCACTGCTACTACTACTACTAGAATACTTTTACATTAATTAATATGCTTTCTGCATTTCACCGATAACCTTTTCCTTTCCTTTGTTAAAACTGTTTTAGCGCGAAATGTTCCCGTCGCTTTGCTTTGTTGTGGATTTTGCGTCTGTGCTTTGGTGCTTTCAGTCGCCATGATTGGTTTGTCACGTTATCTCAAGAATTTGATGAGAATAAGCAACTTGATCACGATAAACAAGTAACTTGATCACAATAAATTTTCCTCTCATTGACGGCTTTTCAAGAAAGCAAGAGAATATAATCTCTTGTCCAAAGTTATTTTATAAAAGCAATGGACCACTCTTTCTATGGGTTTACCGGCGCAATAAACCACTCGAAAAGCTTGTAAATTACTCGCCTAACGGTTTGTGATTTAAAAGGTTTTTTCGTCATCTCCCAACATCTCAAGTAGTTTATTGCGCCCGTAAACCCATAGAAAGAGTGGTCTATTATATAGCCAACTTAAAAACGCCCACTGCCCGGTTTCAATTTTTTTTTTCCACGGGGTAGGGGGGAGGGGAGTGGATGGCTATATACTAGCTATACACAAAGACAAAGTTATTTTCTTCTAAGGAGACTGCTGGGAGACGCATGTTAAACACCTAGTCACTTATCAAGTTAAACTTAACCGCCGTACCGAGTTTGTGTCAGCCTTTGGGTGGTACTGTGATCAAATTTGCATTTCTCTGATTTACGTTATTTTAGAACAGAAACAAGTGGTTAGTATGGGAAGAATATCGCTTACATTTTTTAAATATCTCTTTTCGTTCCAGAAAGTTTTTAAAATATGCAAATTAGCTAATTGATTACGTCATACACAACCACATTTTAATCAAATATATGAAAGTGAGATCTCAACCAATATGTATCAGACATGCTTGATTCTTGGCACCTAGACTCTACAAGGTGTGATTTACAATATGACAACACGCTTAGTTCCAGACCGCTTTGATGTTTAGGGATTTTCTGGCTTTTTCGCATTGCATTTTGATATTTCTTGGTAATGCCTTATTTGCGTGATCTAGCAATCATATAAATGTGTTAGGTAGACAACTGGACCTGGTTTCATTTTTCTGGGCTGAAATTTAGTAAAATGCTGAAAATAGGTCTGAGGGGTCTAAACGAGAGTGTTGTCGTGGAAACACAATTTTATTGCATCTGTAGGTGTGCTACCTTAAAAACTATTAGTGCACCAAGTTTCAATGCTTTCCGCAGCAAATTGATTGAGAGAGCTCAATTTATATAATTAATATCAAATTGGGTTGAATGGATGACGTCATCACTCCCCTAATTTACATATTTCATCCATTCTTTAAACTTAAAGGTATCTCAGGAATTAATAGAGATATTTGAAATTTTACATTGAATTCTCTATGATGCAACTGGTCTGACAAAGGGCTGATGCTGGAAACGTTCATTTCACAAACTCACTGTATCTACTGACACTCACCAAGACATCGTGGAACAGAAGCGGTCCATTCCTTATTCTCCTGGCAGGAAATGGTCGACTTGCCTCTCAGAGTGAAATCTTTGTCGCATGTAAACTCCACAGATCCACCGTACACGAAGCCTTTATTAACAAGTTTCCCTCCATTTGCGGGTTTTCCAGGATCACCGCATCGAACAACTATGTAGATGAAACGGAAAAGAAAAACATAAAAAAACAAAAACAAAAAGGTACTGTTATTAATCAAGAAAACAACTACATGTAACAAGTTTCATCTACATCTGGTCTGTATGTTTTACATACACTTATTAAACAAGAAGCTTTACTGATGTGCTGTACGTAAAATTGGTTAATGCTATGCAAAACGAAAGAATACGCGATTTATATAATCTTAATCACAAACGTAAAAAAAGTTTGCCTTATTTGCCAATTACTACACTTTCTGCGGCATTCATATCAACAGTCCACTTACTCTCGCATGTTGTAGGGGAGCCACTCCAGGTTCCGTCACTTTGGCAAGTTCTTATTCTTGAACCCTTCATTTCGTAACCTTTATCTTTACATTCGAAGACTATTCTATTTCCAAACGTTAGCCCCACTTGTTCAATTATGTCTCCATGGTTTGGCTTGTCCAGGGGTCCACAGCCCACCACTACAAGACATAAATTTTGGGTATTGTTTATGATATCTATAACAATCATTTGTTGAAGTCCAGCCCAGGAGCATGTCCACTTGAGGAAAATGCTAGGGCTGTAGTTGTCTCGGGCATTATTTGAGTCAAATAATTCATTTGCGAGACATTGGCAAATCACGATAGTTTGCAATAAACGACTTCAATAATTGTTTTATCATTCGATCACCAAGTTCGTTTTCAAATTGAAATCACTCTCTCACAGCTCAGAGAAGCGATTTGCCATATTTGACACGAGAGCGTGGTTTCAATTACGCATGAGCAGAATATTATTTGCAGCAAAAGAAGTTTAGGCGATACTACGCAAGGGCAGCCCATTATTTGTAGGCATTTATTTGCAGGTCACGTAGTGGGATCTCGGCCAATGGAAAGGAAGAAATCAGAATTAACTATATGACTAAATTATCAGTCTTCTTTACCTTCACAAGTTGGCGTTCTACCACCCCACTCCTCGTTTGCCTGACATATTCTGTAAGCTGGTCCATTTAGCTTGTAACCTTTATTACATACGTAACGCACCTTCTCCTTGAATGAATATAAGTATCCTATAATTTTTCCGTTAGGAACGTCCCTCGGACGGCCGCAGCTTTTAGCTAATAAGGTAAGATACAATATGTGTTATGTTATTTCTTCATCTGCTAAAATAAGTTGATACCTTCATTGTTTTAGGTATTTGTTCAGGGATGGCGGAGCCGGGGAGCTTGGGGGGTAACCCCCCCCTTTCAAGCCAAAAATACACAAAATAATGATTTTACAAATAACCCTACAAGTTAGCGTCTCTGGGCCCCGCTTGTAAGCCCCCCCCCCCCGCCCCCAATTCAAAATATGCTCCGCCATCCTTGTTGCTGCATATAAAACGAGCAAAACAATTTTCATGTCTGCGCTTTTCATGTAGTATCCAGGGCCAAGTTTGTTTTTCCGTACTAAATTGCTGTTAAAACTCCGGATTAGCTAAGTTATGTTATGTGGACCGGTACTGTAACTAAACTACATGAGATATTACACGAGGCACATCCATCACTTTAAGAAAACTTACGTGAGCAAGTGATATCTCCCGTCCATTGGTTAGAACCTTTGCATGACAAAACCCCACCGCTTGACTTGAAATACCCTTCTTTACATTTTAATAACACGCGATCGCTGTATTTAAATGTCTTTTTCATCCTTCGCGGGTAGTAGACGATAGCTGAATCCGGAATCTTGGGTGGATTGCACTGCGGAACTGAAAAGAAAACATCAAAGAGATTGCTTAAGGGAGGTAATTACGGGTTCGGTTTTTAAGCACGTCGGGTGGGAGTCGCGATTGCCTCATGGTTAGTGCGCTCGACTCCGGAGCGAGCAGTCCGGGTTTGAGCCCTTGCCGGAGACATTGTGTTGTGTATTTGGGCAAGCCACTTCACTCTCACGGTGCCTCTCTCCATTCAGGTGTATAAATGGGTGCCGGCGAATTTAAGGCTGGGAGGCAACACTCCGATGGACTAGTTATCCCATCCAGTGGGGAGTAGAAATACTCCTAGACGCTTCATGCTACTGAAACCGGGATAAGCTCCGGCCTGATGAGCCACTTGGCTCGTATACAGACTTTGCCTACCGTTTTAACTACGGCATCTTAGGAAGCAACAAACCAAACCACCACCACAAACAGACCATGAAACAAAACAAACAAACAAACAAACAAACAAACAAAGTACCAGACATGCAAAGACGCAAGCAAAACCATTGTGTTGTCCTTTAGTATATAACTGAGATCATTTCAACCACATGACATTAAAGTGCAAAAACCTTTACGCGGTTAAAAAAATTGTTATCACGTTACGTACGTTCACATTTTGGCTTTGGGGCACTCCATTCTCCTGTCTCAAGGCACATGATCCTAGCTGATCCGATTAGGTTGTAAGAATCAAAGCACCAATACTGAATATACTTCCCGGCTTGTAGGCCCTCCAATCGTCTGTTTCCGGAAGAAATTTCACCTGGGTCCTTGCACGCGATTCCTAAACGATGAAGCAAGTTTATGAGAGAACGAAGGAGCGAAGGAGCGAAGGGGCGAAGGGGCGAAGGGGCGAAGGGGCGAAGGGGCGAAGGGGCGAAGGGGCGAAGGGGCGAAGGGGCGAA